CAGGGGAGCTGTGTGCTCGTCCGCCAGGAGATTCCTGCGACGAACAAGTGCGTTGCATCAACGAGTGGTAACAAGTGAGTCTCTATCAACTTGTAAAAGGAAAGTAAAATAAGCTAATGTGCATCATTTAAGTGGATGAAATTTGTTTCCCACTAAAAATTAATCTTGAACCCTACTATTTGAGTCCGTATATGGATGTGCTACTTCGATCGGCAGACCTTAAAATTTCTCTTACCATAGGGACTTCAACTCAGCCCTGTAGGAAGCCTGTTAGACTCTATACAGACGGACATTTGGAGATGCCTGTAGACCCTCTAGAAGCATGCCTTAAAAGGTTGGTCAGAAAATATGTAGTATGACGTCGACATAAGGGATTGCGCCGGTGTCAAATCTGTAGTAAATTGACAAACAGGGAAAAGGATTCCTGCCGAATTCTTTTCCTATGGATCATAGAGATCTTATGATCGTGAATGTTCATCATGTATTGTACGGTTAGAAATTATTTCAAAATTTAAATTTTAAAATTAAATATGAAAATACATAATAAAAACTGATCGCATGATAATCGATGAACGATTACGATTGTGAGATTCCTAGAATCCCTGAAAAAAAGATCCGGAGAGGATCCTTTTCCAACAAACACTACGCAAGCTGTCCCTAATCAGATGATGAAAGGTTCCCTAATTTTTGTGGTCGCTCTTTCTCTAAAAATTTGAAAATATCTTCCCCACGTCAGTGCAGGAGATAAGAGTAGTGGTGAAGTTTCTATCTATTGTTTCGAGAGATACAACGAAATAGGGAGGGTGAGGGCTTAAGCTACAATGAATAAGACTATGAATGCCCTAAAGGACTTAACCTGTTGGAAGAGTGACAACCTTCACCGAGTGGAGGAGCCAATGCACCTGCCGCCGAGACGCAAAGCAGCCATTTTTTGTTTTTTTCTATGTTCACAAATCTGAATCCATCATATATATATATATAGTGGTCCAATTTAAAGATGATGGCAGAAAATCCTTAGGCGCTTTGTTGCTCTCTTGGCAAACTATGACCAATTCCAGATCATAAGGGAAAATTCTCTCTAATATGAAAAATGTGCTTTGCATAAAGTCTAGTTCCTTGATCATTGGATTGGCAAAGAAAAATTTGGCTTCAAATTAAAGTCAAACAAATTCTATTTGGTATTTGTTTAAATTTTATATTCGTTTAAATTAAAAGATTATGAAACTAATTCTTATGAGAGAAGAATGATTAACATGAAGGGGAACAAAACTACATGGCCGTTCCCTATCTCATGCTCATGCTGCGATTGTGAACCCATCTTTTATGACGATCGAACTCTTGAGTAGTTACATATTTAAGGTGCGCATATATATATAGTTTGGCTTACTGTACTTAATTAAAAAGTCTGGTGAAGTTTATCAAATATAATTTCCTCCATATCGACAATTAGAAAGTGATCCAAGAATAATAACAGTTCAAAAGAAGCGATCAAACAATTTACACATAGTGCCAAACCAAGTAATTGGATGAACAAACGTTACACGTTTTAAATTGGACCACTAGCGAAACTATGGACAACAGCAGGAGAGAAATTTTCTTGTAACTAAAGATGCTATGTGGCAAATATTTATTACAGTGTTTTTTTTTTTTTTACTGTGTAGCAAACATCTAAGTATCTAAGTGAGGAATAACATCACTAAAACTATATTTGTGGCGTTATTCCTCACTTAGCTCAGTTAGATTATTGATAATGTTTTCCTGAAAAGGGGGAACCAAAAAGATTCTTAAGAATGGCACAAAGTGGGAATTAGGGACTGCAAATACTTCTTTTTGACCCATTGAAAAAGCGTTTAGAGTATGAATGATTTGCGATTATGTTGGAGAGGCTCTCTTACTGAATGTCGGAACATAGTAATGTGAAATTGATCCCCCTTGTGTGAGAAAAAATTGCACCAAGTTGCAGACTATCATTCGATGACTTTCTGCATCATGCGTTATTTCATTGGACTCTGACTCTGGTTTGGTTTTGTAGGCAGTTGCTATTGTGTGCAGTTTTTCAGCTTTGGGTAATTCATCAAGGGCGAGGCTAAATCATTGGGAATTGGAAACTCTGTTTCATGCGTTTGGACATGCTCTTCATTCGTTGCTTTCAAGAACGGTATCCCAGAAATTCCTTAAGATTGTGGGAAACAAGCTATATCACCCCTCCCCGACTTTATCATAAATTCATAATACGTTTGTTGTTTGTATTTTTCTGTTGCATTTTGCTGTAGGATTACCAAAACTTTTCTGGTAGCGCCTTCAACCCTTTTTGAGTGAGTTATATGCTCTGATTGTTATCCCCATCATTCTTTTAACTGATGAAAAATCTATACATCTGTGTAGGAATATATGAAAAAGAATGTGGTTGAAAATAGTTTTGACATGCTGCTTTTGTAACGTGCGTGACTTTCTGAATTCTCAGTGTATTAGAAATGGCAGTGTAAATGTTTAATGTTTGGTTGAATAATAATAACCTATGAGATAACAACTCTGGTGATATGTCTAGGTACTATTCGTTGGATTACCGAGTGTTGAGGAGATTTGCCAAACACAATTCGACTGGTGAAATCATCCCCGAGGAACTAGTAATGCAGGGTGCGAGAAAGATGTTTGCTGCAACTGATTTGCAACGACAGGTTATTATTTTATTGTCTTTGCTTTATAAATCAACAAGGATGGATATATATCACTGTAATTATTATGTCTGGAAGAGAAGAGAAGATTGACCAATATTGTTTTGCTTGCTTCTTGTTTCCTCCTAATGATCAGAACTTTTATGCTGCTGTTGGCCAAACATTCTTTGGGGAACAGCCAACCCCACCAACAAGTATCATTGTGGCGGATCTTAAAAGAGAATATACTAGTTGGAAGCACGTCGAGGGCACACACTGGCATACCCGATATAATCACCTTGTGAATTATGGTGCAGGTACGTACCTTGAGAATTAGATGATGCGTAGATATTGGATAGATTTTCGTACATGGCATTTGGCAGATAAATGTGCTTTTCTTGCTTGCGCACGCAGGTTATTATAGCTACTTGTATGCGAAATGTTTTGCGGCAACGATATGGCTGAAGCTGTGTGAGGAGGATCCATTGTCATTAGCTACAGGAAGTGCTTTAAGACTGAAGTTGTTACAGTATGGGGGAGCGAAAGAAGCAGCTGATTTGTTAAATGGTCTTGTCGGAGGTGGAGGAGGAGGAGATGGTGGGATTATTGTAAGGGATTGTGATGGAGGAGGAAAGGTTCCTCATACTACTTGTCTTTGTACTGAAATGAACACATTAAGGAACCAGTTGATGAATGTTGTATAAAAATGGAGAGATTTTATGGTTGTAAAGGATTGATTGATGAAATGACAATGTTTCATCGGTTGAATGATTGTATAACATTTAATAGCATTTAGAAAGTTTATCAGTGCTATAAAGGGGTAACATAGCATTGGAGAAAATGTTATGGAACACTTTCTATATAGCAATTTTGGGTTTGCTATAGAAAGTGGTTTGTGGTGTAGTAAGTGATCGACAACCGCGACCACGGAGAGAGCAAATTTGCTGAGTACTCAAGTAGCAAGGGCGCGGAGGACGAAGCTGCCTTCTAGTATGACCGAGTTCTAGTCAAGTCCCTTTTGTATTTGTTTGACTTATAACATATTGTCTTCTGGCTGGCAAAATGTTCGGAGATTTTCTCATTAGTGGATTTTGCTTTGTTAAATCCTATGTGACTGCATAACGTGTTTTGTTGTGAATTTATATTTCATCGCTTCTAATATGATTGCAAATATATTTGAATCTTACTATCTGATATAAATGGATGGACCGTATCTTTTGTCAAAGGAGTTCAAATCCAAACCCCAACACATGCGTCCAGAGTCCAAACTCCAAAATTAAAGGCAAATTAATCAATCCAAAGGGGATCCGATCCAAAGGCAAATCAGATCATGCAAGTGCATCAGAATGATCAATTCTTTTTTCTTTGGTTCGTTTTGAGAAGCTTGCCAAGGCCAAGGGGTTATATTTTAAATCATTAAATCATATTAGTATTATTATTGTTCTTATTATTATTGTTATTCTATTTTTTTTTTTTTTGGATAATTGAAACCTTATTCCTTTTTTATTTTTGATCAATGTCCCTTGACTTTTCTTCATGTCATTATTTGAATATTAAATTATTTACAAGTCATTATATGTCAATTTAAATTGAAAATATGGGTACAAATTAAAATTCAAAATTATGAGTACAAATTAAAACTAAAAAGAATATCGGTATAAATTAAAAAATGGGTTATTTTGGTTCCAGTCCCTAATTAACCTAGTTGTTAGAATGAAACCTTATTTGTTTAAATAGGAAGGTCCCTAGAATCATTTAAGGAATTTAACTTTTAAATTTATGCATTCAATATCCTACAAATTATGAAATTTAAACAAATCCAAATAATATTGTTACAAGTATAACAATTACTTAAAAGTCAATAATAGAGTAATTTGTTCTTCACATAGTTCTAGGAAAAAAAAATGTACCCACGTAATTATTAATATAGTGCAAGAAATAACCATTGATATATTTTAAAACATAAAATAAACACACACACACACATATATATATATATATATATGAGAACATAATTTATCCTTAAAATAAATATGTGACAACCCATCCTTACATTTACAATTTTATTAATTTTAAAAATATAAATTTACGAAAATGCCCTTAGATACAAGGTTGTTGACTTTCGTTGACCATCCTTTTGCGACGGGTACAAGCTACTATTTTAGTGTATTCTCGAAACACTCGAAGGTACGAACAAGTAGGTGCAAATGGAAAATATAACAAAGATTTTACATATCGAAACATCAAACATTTTTCGAATATTTTGTGTTTCGTCTTTAGTGACATTGTTTTGTGAGCCACTAGGGCCCACATATTTCACCTTGTACCCGTGAGTCCCCCTCTCATTTTCTGAAAATATCATGGTCTCTCTCTCTCTGAACACTCTCACTCTCTCAAACTCTCTCCCTCACTCCCGGCCCTGTCCTTCCTTCCAAAAAAACCAACCCTCCTAGAGGGTTTTCACTCAAACAGCAACACACAACAACAACCTAGACTACACCACAACCTTCCCACATAGTCCCTACAAGTTCTTGAACCAAGAAAATAGAAGAAAAACCATTTGAAAACTCATCCCCGAGCTGCACTATTCAAGGAATTTCTCCGGCGATCTCTTGCCATTTCCGACGAAGGTAAGCCTCAAAATTGATTCCTATTGTTGTAGGTCGTATCTAGGTTCACGATTAGTAAGTTTTTTAGTGGTTTTGGTGGTGTAGGAACTCGGAAAAACTCAAGGAAAGTCACTGTGCAAATCTGGAATTTTCCAGGCCGTGGTCGTTTGGTCATATTTCAGGTCATTTTATGACCAACTCCGGCCACCACTCGATCCCCACTTGGTATGAATCTGTTCTCCACATTCCTAACTACATTTTGGCTTTTGAATCATTGAGTTTGGTTAAATATCGAACTAGAAATTAGCTTTCAAATTTGGAATGAAATATCTCAAATTCTGGAAAACTTAGATAGTGGCCATTTGGCCACATTCAAGCCATTTTTCCGTCCCACACCGACCTTAACTTGGCTCTATTTTGGTATGGTTTTGTTTCTTGCATTTCCTACTTCACTTAGGTCTTTGAATAATCAATTTTGGTTGAGAAACGAATGAGATATCTTTGTTTAAAGTTTGAGTTTCACCCCTTTTCAGTCGAAAATCTGCAGTGAAGGAAAATGGGGAAATCGGTGGGCTCAAGCCCAAAAGCCCGGCCCTTATTCTTTTGGTCCAAACTTTTGGGCCATTGACCCATGCCTCTTTAACCTAAGGTCCAGTTGGTTCATTAACCTAATTGGGCTCAAAATATTTTTTGGAATATTCTTGAACCCTCTTAGTTCTTAGGCTAATTTCGATGTTCCGAGTCTATTTTTAACATCCATTTAATGAAATTCTAAAGTTTTAACGTGGTTGACAACTGGGGCGTCTCAGTTGATTTTTCAGAATCGATTGTTGACTTTTTACAAAATTTGCTCGGGACCCTCATTAGCGTATTTCGACACACTGATTCCGAATCCGTCGTTTGTTATTCCAAATTCAAGCGTTTTAATTGAGTTTTACTAATGAGTCTCAATATTATGCTTAGGTGCGATTGCTATCGGAGACTCCGGTTTCGTAGCTCGAACGAATGTGTCATTGTAAGTAACTTTGAGTGGGCAATTTATTTTTATACCTATACATAGTTATAGTTCCCATAAATGTGTGTTTCATTTTACGCTTATATTGCCAAGTATCGTTATTGTGATATAAATTGTGATAAATGCTGCTATATGGTTGTGATATTGTTGTCATGACATGCATACATATTTGTACATGCTCATCTTGCTGCACCTTGGTGCTAGTACTCGCCCCAGGGCAAGGGCCAGTCCTTCTTGTGTAAGTTCACATCCGCATCGTTTGCTTGCCTTGGATCCAAATTAGGTGTCAGTCCTGTCGTACAGATTGCATTAGACAATTCCGACTCGTATTTGATTGTGCTTCTGCACCAGCCTTCACGTGATCGTAGTACTAGAGCGTATTGATTATATCCAGTCCTGTTCGGGTCAGAAATTATTTGTACGAACTCGTGCGTCAGCTTAGATGGATGAGCACTTAGTTATACTTGATTATCAATAATTATATTACTGCGGCATTTGATATATCATGATTGGGTATAATTCTGGTTATATGGTTGTTGTACTTTTGTTACATACTTAGTATGTTTTACGAAAACTATACTTGTTTTACAGCAAGGGGTTACTATGTTCGAAAATAAAGGTTTTCTTACAAACGTTGTTTTGTTGACCCACTCAACTTTATTTTTCGCCCCTCCAGGTTTAGTTGTTGTGCTTACGTGTAAACGAGGATCCTGGTAAATCTCAGGAGATGGTTATCTTTAGTGGTATAACCCTCTTCCTATTTTTTATAATGTCTTATGCTTTGACATCACATGTGAAATAAGTTCAATCTCGCTCACCCGCGCACTCTTTTGATCATGAACTTTTAGGTTTAAATTAATTAACATCATTTTCCCACTACACTACACTTTATGGCTTTGTCACCCTCCAGGTGTCGGCCAACACAACTCGATTCGGAATTCAAGTGGACATTCCAAATCGGGATGTGTCAAAATACACCAAGTGTCTCTTTAGAGACTCACTTTTCAATCCACTGGAGATTCATTTTGTCCATATATTTGTTTTATACTTTTATACGATAGTTGTCTCTATTTAAGGACTTCACTGAAAAAGCTCTTAGAGAAAGTAATATATTTATATCCATATGCATGGCACCAATATGAAAGTTAATTAGGCATGGTTTGATGAGTTTTGCATGGCACCTATATAAAATCATATGAATATCAAACCTTCTAATTAAGAAAAAACTAAACTACGAACGTTATTAAACTAGATACAAAATTAACCATGAGAATGACCAAGTTTAGCGGACATTATTAAACCAGATATAAGTTTAGTGAACGTTATTAAACCATACACAAATTTAGCGAATACATCATCTGCTATATATACTACCTTCTCACTGAAATTCATCTCCTTTTCTTTCAAACAGAAAATACATTTGACCTAATTAGATACATCAAGGATATTGCAAACAGAAAATCATCTCATTTTCTTTCAAATTCCTTTGAAAATTCAATACAAAAACAACTACTAACAGTATGCATGCCCTTGAAAGTTGACACTTTGATTTTATCTTTTATTTAGTGCATTTTTCTTGGGTATGTGTGTATATATATTTCAGCATAATTTTAAAGGTCAGCAGACAATACTTTTTATTTTATTTTGTCATGGTAATGTCCCATGCATATTACAATACAAAAGCTAGCATCCCTAAATAACGTATACATATTCAGGGCGGGTTTGGTGATTTTTCTTTTTTTGGAAGAATTAGAGGATCAATGTCAATTAAGGGTGCATGTTCAAAAGATTGGGTAAGTAATGATCAACTACTGCAAGGGAGATTTTGCAGTTATTGGTTGCTTTATTTTGGACCTTAGCTCCTCATCGGAAATCGATGCATTGCCAGAGAAGAAGGGCAAATTGGATTAATGTGGATACGTGACTAGTTTGGTGATCGATTAATAAGGAGATATGAGAATTAACCTTCAACGACCTATATATGTAAAGCATTCAAATAACTCTTGAAGTCTTGATCCCTAAGACTCAAACATTTCCTTCCAAAACAAATCGACTGTGCCTTCTCTCCCTGTATGACTCAACCAGTTCCTTCCAACATCAAGCAATCATGCTGAAATTTGCCATTTCACTTATGAGAAAAATTGTCCCTGCAGCTGAAGCCAATGTCCTCCTAGCTAAGATTATGGCAAAGTTGCAATTTGACAACAATGTCTTGAGAAACAACAGCTGCAAATTGGAGAAGCACTTGGAAGCCAGGGTGAAAATTTTGGAAGCCATAAACGACCTACGTGATCAGGACATGGCCTACATCACTTCTGTTCAACATGCTAAGCTCCTAGATCGACTCTGAATGGGTGATAAGTTAACAGACAAAGGAAAGGGCCTGCTGAACAGCGAGGGGAAGTTGAAAACGAATCTAGAAACCAAGATGATGAGAGAGGAAGAGAGTAAGCTGGCTAAGGTGCCACTGTGGCAAGGAAAACACAATTGTCATCCTTAAGGATTTGTCCAAATGTGCAAGAAATGGCATTCATCAATTCTGCGACAAGAAAGGCCTCAATATCGAGGAGGTCAAGGTCATGCCCACTGGTGTGAGGATCGACTAATATTGAAAGCTTTGGTGGCTTCCCGTTATCCCCATTATCTATTGACCACCTATAGATAGATAAATAGATAGATAATGGAGATAATGGGGAGTCAACAAAGCTTTCAATATTAGTCGATCCTTACACCGGCGAGCAGGACATTGACCTCCTCGACATCAAGGCATTTCTTGTCGCAAATTGATGGATGGTACTTCTTGCACATTTGGACAAATCCTTGAGGATGTTAACACTGTTTCCATGCCACAGTGGCACCTTAGGCAGCTTGCTCTCTCCCCATTTTAGCTTCTAGCTTCGTTTTTGGCTTCTTCTCGTTGTTCAACAGGCCTTTTCCTTTGTCTGTCAACTTATCACCCCTTAAGAGTCGATCTAGTTGCTTTGCATGTTGAACATAAGTGATGTAGGCTTTGTCCTGATCACGAAAGTCGTTTATGGCTTAAAAAAATTTCACCCAAGTTTTCAGGTGCTTTTCCAATTTGCAGCTGTTATTTCTCAGGACATTGTTGCCAAATTGCAGCTTTGCCATAATCCCAGCTGGATAGACATTGGCTTCAACTGCAGGAACAATTTTTCTCATAAGTGAAATGGCAAATTTCAGCATGATTGTTTGTTGTTGGAAGGAACTGGTTGAGTAATATAGGGAAAGAAGGCACAGTCGATTTGTTTTGGGAGGAAATATTTGAGTCTTAAGGATCAAGACTTAAGAGTCATCCGAATGCTTTACATATATAGACCGATGAGGCTTAGTTCTCATCTCTCCTTATTAATCAATCACTAAACTAGTCACATATCTATATTAATCCAATTTGTCCTTATACTCTGGCAATGCGCCGGTTTCCGATGAGGAGCTAGGACCCAAATCAAGTAACCAATAACTGCAGAATTGTCACATCCTAGGCTCGTCTAGCACGATATTGCCCGTTCTGGGCTTATCATTCCCTCACGGGTTTGTCACACCCCAGGGAGTCACCCATCCTAGGACTACTCTAGTCCAAACTTGCTTAACTTCGGAGTTTCGATGGAATCTGAAGCCAGTGAGTTTCCAAAAGATCTCGTTCTATATGGAGGTGGGCATGTACATATAAGGCACATCACTCTTTTTCCGTTGGTCGATGTGGGATGTCACAATCCACCCCCTTAGGGGCCCGACGTCCTCGTCGGCACACTCGCACCACACGGCAGAGTGGCTCTGATACCATTTTATCACATCCCAGACTCCAGTGAGGTTAATCCTAGAGCACAAACTTTCTTAACTTTGGAGTTTCGATGGAATCCGAAGCCAGTGAGTTCCCAAAATGCCTCGAGCTATATGGAGGTGGACATGTACATATAAGACACATCATCCCTTCTCCGTTGGTCGATGTGGGATGTCAAGAATCTCCCTTGCAGTAGTTGATCATTACTTACCCAATCTTTTGAAGGCAATTAAATCTCTATCAAATGTAATTCGTTGGGGACAGTCTTCGCTAATGTAGGGGATTCGAAGCCGGATCTCTCAAGATTTTGCGTCAGGCTAAAAAACCTTTCAATCTAATTTGACTCCACCTAACACAGTCACTATCTCCCCATTAAAATCCCAGTTGTCATTCTGCTCTGGCAATGCACCGGTTTCCGATAAGTAGTTAGGGCCTCTAGCCAGATCCAAAATGATAAAGCAATCAAACCATTTATCGCCCTCCTCATTTGTCGTTCTGCGTGCGTGAATTTTTCTTGCAGGCTTTCCAGAGCAAAGATTGTCCCTAACCATTTACATTTGACAAAGATTTAATTGCCTTCAAAAGATGGGTAAGTAATGATTAATTAGTGCAAGGGAGATTCTGCAGTTATTGGTTGCTTTATTTTGGGCCTTAGCTCCTTATCGAAACCAATGCATTGCCAAAGAAAAAGGACAAATTGGATTAATGTGCAGATGTGACCAGCTTGGTGATCGATTAATAAAGAGATATGAGAATTAAGTCTCATCGGCTTATATATGTAAAGCATTCAGATGGCTCTTTAAGTCTTGATCCCTAAGACTCAAACATTTCTTCCCAAAACAAATTGACCGTGCTTTCTCTCCCTGTATTACTCAATCAATTCCTTCCAACAACATGCAATCATGCTTAAATTTGCCATTTCACTGATGAGAAAAATTGTCCCTACAGCTGAAACCAATGTCCCCCTAGCTGGGATTATGGCAAAGCTGCAATTTGGCAACAATGTCCTGAGAAACGACAGCTGCAAATTAGAGAAACACCTGGAAGTCAGGGTCAAAATTTTGGAAGCCATAAACAACCTACGTGATCATGACAAGGCTTACATCGCTTCTGTTCAACATGCAAAGCTCCTGGATCAACTCCAAATGAGTGATAAGTTGACAGACAAAGGAAAGGGTCTGCTGAACAGCGAAGGGAAGCCGAAAACAAAGCTAGAAGCCAAGATGAGGAAAGAGGAAGATAGCAAACTGCTTAAGGTGCCACTGTGGCATAGAAAACACCATTGTCATCCTCAAGGATTTGTCCAAATGTGCAAGAAGTGGTATCTATCAATTCTGCAACAAAAAAGGCCTTAATGTCGAGAAGGTCAAGGTCATGCCCACCGATGTAAGGATCGACTGATATTGAAAGCTTTGGTGGCTCCCCATTATCTACTGACAACCCATAGATAGATAATGGGGAGCCAACAAAGCTTTTAATATCAGTCGATCCTCACACTGGCGGATAAGACCTTGAACTCATCGACATCAAGGCCTTTCTTTTCGCAGAATTGATGGATGACATTTCTTGCGCATTTGGACAAATCCTTGAGGATGTCAACGGTATTTCTGTGCCACAGTGGCACCTTAGGCAGCTTGTTCTCTTCCTCTCTCTTTAACTGGGCTTCTAGCTTCGTTTCCGGCTTCCCCTCGCTGTTAAACAGACCATTTCCTTTGTCTGTCAACTTATCACCCTTTCGAAGTCGATCTAGGAGCTTTGCATGTTTAACAGAAGTGATGTAGGCCCTATCTTGATCATGTAGGTCGTTTATGGCTTCCAAAATTTTCACCCTAGCTTATAGGTGCTTCTCCAATTTCCGGCTGTTGTTTCTCAAGGCATTGTTGCCAGATTGCAGCTTTGCCATAATCCCAGCTGAAAGGACATTGGCTTCAGCTGCAGGGACAATTTTTCTCAACAGTGAAATGACAAATTGCAGCATGATTGCTTGCTGTTGAACGAACTGGTTGAGTAATATAGGGAGAAAAGACACAGTCGATTTGTTTTGGTAGGAAATATTTGAGTCTTAGGGATCAAAACTTAAGAGTCATCTGAATGCTTTACATACATAGGCTTAGTTCTCATCTCTCCTTATTAATTGATTACCAAACTAGCCACATTAATCCAATTTGTCTTTCTTCTCTGGCAATGCACGGCCAAAGCAACCAATAACTGCAGAATCTCTCTTGCACTAGTTAATCATTACTTACCCAATCTTTTGAAGGCAATTAAATCTTGTCAAATGTAAATAGTTGGGGACAGTCTTCGTTCTGGAAAGCCTGTAAGAAAAATTCACGCACGCAGAACGACAAATGAGGAGGACAATAAATGGTTTGATTGCTTTATCATTTTGGATCTGGTCAGATGACCTAGCTACTTATCGGAAACCAGCGCATTGCCAGAGCAGAAGGACAATTGGGATTTTAATGGGGAGATAATGACTGCGTTGGGTGGAGTCAAATTAGATTAAAGGGTTTTTGAGTTGTTTTCCATAAACATATGGTACCGAAGGGGAAGAGGGCTATTCTTTTTATAAAATGAAATAAAATAAGGGGAAACGTGATATGAGTCCAATTTTTTTAGCTAATAGTAAGAATATTCCAGTTTATTAAAATAAGTCCAATTTCTTTTATTTAATTATCAAGAATTATCTCTTTAATGAAAAAATTTATTATAAAAATCAAATTTCTTCCTAATTATCTCTTTGATTATTTCTTTTTATTTATTTGTTATTTTTTGTTCTTCCTCCTACTTTAACCCATTTATAGATTTTATTTTAATTTTTATAATCAACCTATATCACAGATTAATTGTATTTATCTACCTATATGACAAATTCTTTTTCATAGTCAAACTGTCACAGATTAATGTGTCTTGCTTGTAGGTATATTTTTTTTTTTTTACATTTTAGTTAGGTTTCATATTTCACTTATAAGTATAATATACATTCATATATTTGCTACTTGAGTTAGGGTAGAATGTTTTACAAATAGATTTATGTTAGTATTTTTTTTTTTTTTTGTTATATGATATTAATTAGATATTTTGGAGTTGGAAAATGCATAATATCAAAAGATTTTAATTGATTTTTAATATTTTTAGAAAATATAAAATGAGCATAAAAGAATTAAAAACATATAATTAGATAACTAGATTCATTTCTAAAAACACTTTATATTTTTGGACCTAGATCTAAAAACCCCATAAAATAAAGTACAAGATCTACAATATCTTTGGCATATAGGCCATGGATTGTTACCATAAATGCGAAAATGGGGTTGTTTGAACTGCCCAATTCAATTTTGCCAGATCCAGCAGTTGGGGCTACCTTCCCTCATAACTCCCCATTAACCCCACTCTGATGTAAGGGATTCGAAGCCAGATCTCTCAAGTTCAAAAACCCTTCAATCTAATTTGACTCCACCCAACGCAGTCACTATCTTCCCATTAAAATCCCAGTTGTCATTCTGCTCTGGCAATGCGTCGGTTTTCGATAAGTAGCTAGGGCCTCTAGCTATATCTTAAATGATAAAGCAATCAAACCATTTATCGTTCTGCGTGCGTGAATTTTTCTTGCAGACTTTTCTAGAGAAAAGACTGTCCCCAACCATTTACATTTGACAGAGATTTAATTGCCTTCAAAAGATTGGGTAAGTAATGATTAACTAGTGTAAGGGAGATTCTGCAGTTATTGGTTGCTTTATTTTGGGCCCTAGCTCCTCATCGAAACTGGCGCATTGCCAGAGAAGAAGGACAAATTAGATTAATGTGGAGATGTGACCAGTTTGGTAATCGATTAATAAAGAGAGATGAGAACTAAGCCTCATCGGCCTATGTATGTAAAACATTCAGATGATTCTTTAAGTCTTGATCCCTAAGACTCAAACATTTCTTCCCAAAACAAATCGACCGTGCCTTATCTCCCTGTATTACTCAACCAGTTCCTTCCAACAGCATGCAATCATGCTTAAATTTGTCATTTCACTGATGAGAAAAATTGTCCCTACAGCTGAAGCCAATGTCCCCTTAGCTGGGATTATGGCAAAGCTGCAATTTGGCAACAATGTCCTGAGAAACGACAGCTGCAAATTAGAGAAACACCTGGAAGTCAGGGTCAAAATTTTGGAAGCCATAAACAACCTACGTGATCAGGACAAGGCTTATATCGCTTCTGTTCAACATGCAAAGCTCCTGGATCGACTCCGAATGGGTGATAAGTTGACAGACAAAGGAAAGGGTCTGCTGAACAGCGAGGCTAAGCCGAAAACGAAGCTAGAAGCCAAGATGAGGAAAGAGGAAGAGAGCAAACTGCTTAAGGTGCCACTGTGGCATAGAAAACACCATTGTCATCCTCAAGGATTTGTCCAAATGTGCAAGAAGTGGCATCCATCAATTCTGCGACGAAAAAGGCCTTCATGTCGAGAAGGTTAAGGTCATAACCATCGGTGTAAGGATCGACTGATATTGAAAGCTTTAGTGGCTCCCCATTATCTACTGACAACCCATAGATAGATAATAGAGAGCTAACAGAGCTTTTAATATCAGTCGATCCTCACACCGGCGGGTAAGATCTTGAACTCATCGACATCAAGGCCTTTCTTCTCGCAGAATTGATGGACGACACTTCTTGCGCATTTGGACAAATCTTTGAGGATGTCAACAGTGTTTCCGTGACACAGTGGCACCTTAGGCAGCTTGTTCTCTTCCTCTCTCTTTAACTTGGCTTATAGCTTTGTTTCCGGCTTCCTCTCGCTGTTCAACAGACTATTTCCTTTGTCTGTCAACTTATCACCCCTTCAGAGTCGATCTAGGAGCTTTGTATGTTGAACAGAAGTAATGTAGGCCTTATCTTGATCACGTGGATCGTTTATGGCTTCCAAAATTTTCACCCTAGCTTCCAGGTGCTTCTCCAATTTGTGCTGTTGTTTCTTAAGACATTGTTGCCAGATTGCAGCTTTGCCATAATCCCAGCTGAAGGGACATTGGCTTCAGCTGCAGGGATAATTTTTCTCAACAGTGAAATGACAAATTTCAGCATGATTGCTTGATGTTGGACGAACTGGTTGAGTAATACAGGGAGAGAAGACATGGTCGATTTGTTTTAGGAGGAAATATTTGAGTCTTAGTGATCAAAACTTAAGAGTCATCTGAATGTTTTACATATATAGGCCGATGAGGCTTAATTCTCATCTCTCCTTATTAATTGATTACCAAACTAGTCACATCTCTACATTAATCCAATTTGTCTTTCTTCTCTGGCAATGCGCGTGTTTCCGATGAGGAGCTAGGGCCCAAAATAAAGCAATCAATAACTACAGAATCTCTCTTGCACTAGTTAATTATTACTTATCCAATCTTTTGAAGGCAATTAAATCTCTGTCAAATGTGAATGGTTGGGGACAGTCTTCGCGGTGAAAAATTCATGCACGCAGAACGATAAATGGTTTGATTGCTTTATCATTTTTGATCTGGCCAAAGGCCCTAGCTACTTATCGGAAACCGGCGCATTGCCAAAGCAGAAGGACAACTGGAATTTTAATGGGGAGATAGTGACTGCGTTGGGTGGAGTCAAATTAGATTGAAGGTTTTTGAGTTGTTTTCCATAAACATGTGGTACCTACGAGGAAGAGGACTATTCTTTTTATAAAATTAAAAAATGAAATAACATTAACAATGATAATCTGATTTGCAGAGTCTTCAACATTAACAACGATAATGAACACGTTACCTTGAACCCAGTTTATTTTTAACTCCCCATTTGTTAAGGGGTTTCTTTGACAGCACCGCACCTACTAGCTTCACTCCCTGCTCCATGCTAGAAATCTTCAGAGACTCGTCCAGGTGAACCACCAGCTCATCTACCTCTGATTGATCCCTCCCCTCCCAGATACCACAACAGAAGAATGAACACAGAATCAACGTGTTCCAATATCGTCTCAGAACCTCCTTCACGCCCACTTGATGAGAATAATTTTTGTATTCTATCTTTGCCATATAGGCCATGGATTGTTGCCATAAATGCGAAAATGGGGGTTGTTTGAACTACCCAATTCAATTTTGCGAGACCCAGCGGTTGGGGGTACCTTCCCTCATAACTCCCCATTAACCCCACTCTGATGCAAGAGAAACTTTTTCAGGTTCTGGTCACATACGACACCTGGTGTTCCAACAAATGAAAATTAGACACGTGGCTTTTCCATGTTTCAATTAAATTGCATTCTGATAATTCCCTTCGTTACTGATATTGTTGTGTTTATGGTTGAAATGAGAGGGAAGAAGGGATAGATTCAACACAACAACAATGGGAGGATGATGGGGATGATGATGATGTCAATGATGAGACGGAGCCCGAGAGCAACGCTGAGAAGAGCTACGTTCATAAAACTAGTATATATGCCTGTGATTCAGTGGATAACTCGTTTAGAAACTACTAAATTGTGGCATTTACTGTTCTTGGTCAAAAGAAACTGTGGTATTTCTTATTTGTAACATTACAATGACTAATTTGATCTGGTATCAGGATTTATGACGACGAGTATCATTTAATTATGATACTCTCCTTTCTCGAGTCTCAATTATATCATGGTTCATGACGATAAACAACATTTTACTATACTCTCTTGAGTCTCGATTATCATGGATGTGGCATGTTACATCATATTCTTGAGTGAAAGTTTATACATTTCAAACGAATGTTCTATGCCATATTCGTAGGCCCATTTCAGTAGCACACAATTGTTATTGCAAGGGGTATGATTCTCTTTCCTCGTAGTTTCTTTCTCCTTCCCTTCTTTTCTTTCTGAATCGGTTAAGCTACGTTAATGTTTTATGTTAATTTTTTAATAGTCATAAAAAAAATAAAAAAAATTGTAAGAGAATGAGAAAGAGACGAGAATAGAAGGGAAAAAACCTTACTCTTATTTGTAATCTATAAAGCATGTTGTCCTCTTTAAATTGGACCACTATATATTGTGTGATGGATTCAGATTTGTGGACACCCAAAGACAAACTAAAAGCGGCGGGAAAAGAATCGATTTTTTGGTTGCAACCAATACAGTCTCAATGTCGTTACCTCCCTCGTAATTATTTTTTACATGGGGAGATAATAATAGTATATTAGTATTAGTATATGTAATATTTTAGGGTCTTTACCATCATAAGTGTTGTGTGGGACTTATGTATAACATTGCATCAGCAAATGCTAACGAGTGAGTATCTATCAATGTGTTCAGTAAGAGAAATTGATGTGCAGCATTTACGTGAATGAGATTTGTTTTCCACTCAAAATCAATCTAGTCCTTATATGGATTAGCTAGTTCGATCGGCGGACCTTAAAATTTCTCTCTTACTATGGGGACTTCAACTCAGACCTGTAGGAAGCCTTCTAGACTCTATACACAAGGACATTTGGAGATGCTTGTAGTCCCTCTAGAAGCATGCCTTAAAAGGTTGGTCAGAAAATGTATAGTATGATGTCGACATAAGGGATTGCACCGGTGTCAAATCTGGAGTAAATTGACAAACACCACGCTAGCTGTCCCTTTATTTCTCGACCCGACTTCTATGTCCTCTTAGTTCTCATACATTCTCATCCCTTTCTAATTTGTGCGGTCACAAGTAGGAGGGGATTGGAGTGTATGGGAACTGGAGGGGTAGAAAAGCCAGGTCCTATTTCTCAGTTGGGTGAATTAGATGATGGAAGGTTCCCTAATTTTTGTGGTCGCTCTTTCTCTACAAATTTGAAAATATCTTTGCCACGTCTGTGCAAGAGATAAGAGTAGTGGTGAAGTTTCTATCTAAGGAAAACTAATGACAAGGGTTTGAAAACTTTGAGTTTTAACGATAAGGACAAAATAAAAGGTTAAGTGAATAGTATCAGATTTGACTTTTTAGTATAAAAATGTGGTTTTTCGTTAAAGTGAACAGTATTACGGGTTTTTCGTTAAAACTCCCTTCCATCTATTGTCTCGATAGATACAATGAGATAGGGAGGGTGAGGATTAAGCTACAATGAATAAGACTATAATTTATAACTTATAATCATGTATTAAACTTGTGATTTAAGAAGGTTCAAAATAAAAATTTGATATAAATGAATAAAAATATCATTAAATTATAGCACCACCAACTATGGTTATTGAGAAGCGCGGTGGTGTTGTGCTAGGTTGGAACTTGGAAAGCATGGGTGGAGTTTTTATTGTTTAGTTTGTCTTGAATATACCAATTAGCTCTTACTCGAATAGTATCTCTCTTACAAGTTTCATAGTTTAGCTCTTCTGGGTCCATTTGATAACTTAATTATGTTCAATTGGCAATCCAAGTTAGCAAAAAACCGTTAAGGAAAAAACCATTAGAATACAAAGTGAAATCACATGCAATTATCTAATTCGATGAAAGTTTTTTGTTTTTTTTTCAAGTACCCTTCTATTATATAATGACATGTGATGTTTCATCCTGTATTCTGAGCATAATGAAAAGGATCTTCAGTTGTACCAAATGATAATTATTGAAAGAGCCATACATAAGAGATTTTTTTTTTGTGTGTGCATCAAGTGTCATAATCTAAGTAGTTGTATTTGCAACTACTTGTATTATAACATTTTATGTACAAACCATGTTCCAAACATTGAAAAATCTCTCTTTACAAACCGTAGCTATTTACTACTTCTCATTAGAATGAAAACGCTCGAAGCCTCACGACTGATTGTCTAAATTCTTGTTGGCCAGCGTTGCCTCATCAATAAGCAACTGCAGCGTTGACCACGACGACCCACCTTCCTTCGCAGCCTTATCTGCCATGTCAGCAAACTCCTTCACTCTCTTCCTCACCTCCTCTCCCTTGTCTCCCACCATCAACTCTTTGACCGTCTTCTCCAACCCCTCTGCCTTCACAAACCCCTTCACTGAACCGTCACACGTCTCCACCCTCAGCCCCACCTTGATCTCCTCCACCACGAACCTGGCATTCAGTGGCTGCTCCGCCATTATCGGCCACGCCAGAATCGGCACTCCGGTGCATATGCCTTCCAACACCGAGTTCCATCCGCAGTGGCTCACAAAACCATGCACGCTCCCGTGCATTAAAATCCGCCTCTGGTCAACCCACTCATTAACCACCATTCCCCTCTCCTTCACTCTCTCTTCAAACCCTTTGATATCCCACGTGGCAGTCTCTGATGCGTACGATTTGCTTCTTATGACCCACATAAAGTGGACCATAGAGTTTTCCAACCCTAAAGCTATCTCTTGGAGCTGCTCAGCTGATAGCTCAGCTTGCGACCCAAACGCAACGTACAAAACTCTACGTCCCTCCTCCAGCTTTTTGTCCAGCCACTCAATCCAGATCGCCTTTTCATCACGATCGTGTGGTTCATCTTGTGCCAGCTGACAAAAGGGACCGACACACCAGGCCTTGGGCAAACACTCAGTGTTCCAGTACTCAACGAACACAGCTTCGAGCTCGTAGAAGCTGTTGACTATCATACCCAAGCTACGAACGGTTGACTCCAATATTTTCATGCTGAACTCAGAGGATGCATGTTGGACATCATCAGTAATAGTGGACTGGTTAAAGTCCTTTTTGGTAACTTTGATCCACGGAAACCGAGTTACGGTGACTAACTCCGTGTCGGAGTCGGCCCCGTCTAGGAGCCGGCTCTCAGCAACGAGTTTAAACAGGGATAAGGCGTAGTTTCCCAAACCATAGAAAACAAATCTGGGGAAACCGAACTTGGCAGCGGAGTCGGCGGTCCACCAGAGGAAGCCGTCGGAGACCATGAAGCTGACGCCTGGAAGGGTTTGGAGGGCTCGCTCGAAGTCGGGTTGCATGTGGATGGTTGAGAGGGCGAAGGAGAAGAAGAGGTCCATTGAAGGGAGCTTGTCGGTGCTTTCGACGCCTGCGGGGATTCCAGGGACGATGTTTTGAGGGAAAGAGATGTGGACCACGTTAGCGGCAGCGGGAAGGGATTGGTGGATGAAGGTGCGGTTGGCGGGGGTGGTGAAGACGGTAACGGCGAGTCCCTGAGCGAGGAAGATGCGAGACAAGTTGAGGAGAGGGATGGTGTGGCCTTTCGCCATGAAGGGGAACAAAACTACGTGGCCCTTCTCAATCTCATGCTCATGCTGCGATTGTGAACCCATTTTTTATGACGATCGAATTTACAGACTCCTGAGTACTTATGTATTCAGGGGTGCATAATGTATATATAGGTTTTCTACAATGTTGTTAAGTGTAATTAAAAAGTGTAGTGAACTTTATCGAATATAATTTCCTCCATATGGACAACTGTAAAGTGATCCAAGAATCGTAACATTTCAAAAGAAGCGATCAAACAATTTACATAGTGCCAAACCAAGTAATTGGATGAACAAACGTTACACGCTTTAATGGACCACTAGCGAAACTACTGGCAGTGGCAGGAGAGAAATTTTCTTGTAACTAAGGATGCCATGTGGCAAATAATTATTAAACAGTGTTTATTTTTTGACTATGTAGCAAACATCTAAGTGAGAATAATACCACAATTAGGTCATGGTTATAAAAAAATATTTATCTCCAGCGGCAGGCAAGCAAATTGGGTAGGCCTTAGAGGCGTGTTAGATCATAACACGTCGATGTGTGCGAGTCACTGTGGAAGCATGCAAGGACTGGCAGAAGATATAGGAGGCAGATTCTCTGCCCTCTCACTTCCCGTGCTTTTTCGTACCCTCCTATTTTGTGTGGTCACGGTTAAGTCATGTCAACATTTTATATCTCTTTTTTTATAGAGATAATAAAACAAAAAGAAATAGTATTATAAAATATTAACATGACTTAACCGTAACCACACAAACAGAAGGTAAAGAATCTGCCTCCGAAGATATATATTGTTTGACATGGAATGTAGCGGACCGGCGGTGCCCAAATCTGTAAGTAATTGACAGACTACCGCTATTCCACACGCACCCCTCCCCCATCTCTCTCTCTCTCTCTCTCCCTCTCCCCCCTTGTGTCGATGAAAATGGAAGGTACTCTTTTTTTTTTCTCTCTCTCTCTTTGCAAAGTTGAAAATATCTAGTCACTATATATGTGTGGTGAAGGTTTTCCTATTCTGAAACGACGAAATTGGGTGAGTCAGGATCGAGGCTAAAGTCACAACCAAAGGAATATCATTACAAAAAGAGAGAAACATCACCAATATACCGTACGTAATATTTGTGGAGAGAGAGATGAGGGACGGATGGTTACCAGTTGGCACCACCAGTTGGTGTTTTGCTAGGTCGAGGTGGATGGCTAGTGTTTTTTATGTTTGTTATTGGTCTAGCTTCTTATTTTAACTTCGTTCAAATATAACTAATCAGTTCTTAATCTAACGATAGATACATATATATATATATATGTATGTATATATATGTACATATGTATATTTATATATACCAGTGTTTGTTCAGACACAGTGCTGTTGGCGGATCCAGGATTTCAAGATCGGGGGGTCCCAACATAAAAGCTAAAAAAAAGAGACTAATTTGGTTCCATATCACTATTTTCTACTGAAGTTGGTTGATTGATTAAATCAAGATTAATCTCAAAGGTAATAAACCAACAAATTCTCCTCAGCAACATAATGCAATTACTGACTCTATAAGGATAAAATTTGTTAATGTAACATATATATTATTAATTGGGAGTTGGGATTAGAGTCTAGGATTAAAAAACTTATATGAATTTGGAAGAAATAAAATTAGGCAACTAAAAGCGGTGGAACGATAAATGGTGGTGGGGAATAGGGTAACTTGGGTTTAAGGTTGGAAGGTTGAGACGATTGGAGTTGGGAATTCTTAAATATAATTTGAGGATACTGGAAAAGACCGGGGTTCTCGGGCTCTCTAGAGAAAACAAAGATATTTTAGTTTTTAATTTTTTTATAATTACCTGGCTCTAAAACGTTGTCGTTTTGACTAGGTCTTTTAGGGTCAACACTACCTAAAAGTTATCGTCAAATTCATACTTTGTTACCCTTAGTTTTTTCGTCTCACTTTCATACTTAAAGTTATGATTGACTCCCAAAATCATATTTCTTTTAGTCTACCCGTTGAATTTTCTGTTAAACAATGACGTGGCGGGACTTTGGGCCACTAAAAATTTTAAAATCATAAAAATAAAAATAAAAATAAAAATAAAGTTTGGATAGTGAAAAAATATTATAAGTGTGAAATAAGAGTTTTATCAAGGGAGTTTTAACGAAAAGCCCACGGTACTGTTCACTTTAACGAAAAACCACATTTTTACACTAAAAAGTCAAACCTGGTACTATTCACTTTACCCTTTATTTTGTTCTTATCATTAAAACTCAAAGTTTTCAAGCCATTTTCATTGGTTTTCCTTTTTATCAAAGGCACTTTACGAGTTCATAATAAAAAATAAAAATAAAAGAAAATTGGCAATGAAAATTCCGTGCCGTTAAAATTGAAAAATATTTGCCTGTACTTTTTGATTACCACTAAATCCCACCCTCCTCCTCTGCTTGCTTATGGGGAGCAGGGAGAACATATCTTCTTGGTGCTCAAGTCGCTAATATCTCCACCATTCAAATCTCAATACCTCAACTCTATGAGTATATTCGCCCCCATCACACACCCGCCGAGCCAATGGTGATTTCGGACCGGCCACGACCAAATTGTTGTCACTCGGATACTCGAATTCCACCGCCAAACCAAACACGCGTTTCTAATCAATTCATACACGCTTCAGATCTGTACCCCAAACTTGGTTATACGATGTTCAAGCCAAATGGCAATGTTTCTTACAAAGCGAAGGAGACGAACTACACGAACAAGTTACCACATTGGATAAAATGCTCCTGTGATCTTGTTAAACAAAATTGAGTGAATTTTGTTCTGGCCGGCCGTCACATCTACGTGTTTTGACTGACACTTATATGACATTAGGTTTTGTGCATAATTGTCGTCAATGATTTCAACGCATGAAACATGAATATGACAACGACCTTATTTAACGTTAGATCAAGGATAAATTTATCTTAGTTTTATATGTTTGCAACATTGAACTAAAGAGCCTTCCAAACCTTTTCATCTACACGGAACATTCCCCCACTAATCGTCTAGAACCTAGCTAGTATTCTTGTCGCATGTTGTCTCATCTATAAGCAACTGCAGCGTCGACCACGACGACCCGCCTTCACTCACAGCTTTCCTCACCACGACAGCAAGCTCCTTCGCCTCCCTCCTCGCCTCTTTCCCCATCTCTCCCTCCATCAACTCTTTGACCATCTTCTCCATCCCCTCCGACTTCACAAGCTCTTCGTTGAACCATCGCATGTCTCCACCCTCGCCCCCACCTTGACCTCCTACACCACGAACTTTGCACTCAGCGACTGATCCGCCATCATCGGCCATGCCAGAATCGGCACTCCGGCTCGTATGCTTTCCATCACCGACTTCCATCCGCAGTGGCTTACAAAACCTTGCACACTCTCATGCATTAAAATCCACTTCTGGTCAACCCACTGTTTGACCATCATTCCCCTCCCATTTACTCTCTTCTCAAACCCTTTAATGTCCCACGTGGCAGTCTCTGATGAGTACTCTTTACTTCTTATGACCCACAGAAAGTTGACCATTGAATTTTCCAACCCTAGTGCAATCTCTTGGATCTGTTCGGCTGACAGCTCAGCTTGTGACAACGTACAAAACCCTACTTCCTTCCTCCTGTGTTTTGTCCAGCCACTCAACCCATGTGGGCTTATCACCGTGATCATCGTGTGGTTTATTTTGCACCATGAGAAAAAGGGGGCCCACACACCAAACCTTCGGCCCACACTCAGTGTTCCAATAGTCAGTAAACACAGGCTCGAGTTCGTAGAAACCACTGACCATCATGCCGTAGTTGCGAGCCGCAGCCACGACGGACATGACGCGGAACTCGGAGGCTTGAGACGCTTGTCGGTTATGATCGGCGCCTCTAAAGGCATCATCGAAGTCTTTTTTTGTAATTTTGATCCAATGAAACCGAGTCACGGTGATCAACTTGTCGTTAGACTCGGCTCCATGCAGGACTGGTTCTGGCTGACGAAGCTGGACACCGACAAGGCGTGGTTTCCGAAGCCGTAGAAGACGAATATAGGGAACTAGAACTTGGCAGCGAAATCAAAGGTCCACCAGAGGAACCCGTCGGAGACCATGAAAGTGACACGTGGAAGGGTGGTGAGGGCACGCTTGAACTCGAACTGCATGTTAAATGTGGCGGGGATTTTTTAACTTTAATTCTTTTAAAAAAATGAAATTTAAAATAAACCTGATATTAGATTATATATTGATTATAATCTTTTGATGTGTTATTAATTTTGAAATAATTAATATGCATTTTCTTTAATCTCTCCCATTAAATATTTAAATTATTAATATACAATTTTTTTTTTTTTGACAAAAAATGAGTTTTTTTTTAATTTATAAATTTTATTTAACATTCTTCAAACTTGAAAGACTCAATTAATGTACTTAAATGTTAGCACTGAAATGTGTATAACGAAAGGGAGACTTTGGATGCGGTCCCTAGTTATGAACAATCTTTGACTGAAACCTTGTTGGTTTTTAATTTTTGATCAAAGTCCCTGAAATTAATTAATAATTTATTTTCATGTACGTTACTATATTTTTTAAATTAAAAATTAAATTTATAGTTGTTTATAGTAATGAGATTTTAAATAAAAAACCATAATTTGTGGGATTAAAAATATTAAAATATAAATATACTATTGTGTGTGTGTGTGTAAACATGGGTACATTCATAAAAAATAACCAAAAAATTATTGTATCAAAACATGGGTACATTCTTCAAAATGGGTACATTTAGCAAAAATAAAAATGGGTACAAATAAATAAAAAAATATGGGTACAATACAAATAAACTTTAAAAAATATGGGCACAAAAAGAAATTAATATATGGGTACAAATTAAAACTGAAAGGAAAATTGGTACAAATTAAAAAAGGGTTGCAAATTAAAAATGGGTACAAACTAAAAATAAAAATAATGGTTGCAAATTAAAAATGGGTACAAACTAAAAATAAAAATATATGATAAAAAATTTATCCATAAATATAAATATACTAATTGTAACATTTTTAATATTAAATGAATATATTTAGAAATAAAAAATATTTTATTATTGAAATAATTAATGATATTATTAATACAAAGGACCTTGATCAAAAATTGAAAAGTAATAAGGTTTTAATCAATAGAGTAGTAAAAATAAGGATGAAAACCTAATTACTCCATAACGAAATGTATTATATTGAACTAATGTATTTAAATGTTAGTACCGAAATGTATGTACTGA